AAATTATGTTGTGTGTTTAAATTATGTAAGTGTGTTTAAATTATCTAAGCGTGTTTAAATTATGTTGTGTGTTTAAATTATGAAAGTGTGTTTAAATTATAAAAGTGGTTGTGTGATTTTAATGAATTATATGGTTTATCATTGAATTTAAAAAATAAACTAATCATAGAAAAAAAAACGACAATCATAAAAAAAAGATAAACGATAATTATAAATAAAGATAAATAACAATTACAAATAAAGATAAACGATAATTAAAAATAAAGCTAAACAACAATTAAAAATAAAGATAAACGACAATTATATTCAGATAAACAACAATTACAAATAAACGTAAATTAATAACCACTATGTTGAGGGCTTGGATAATAGTCTCCAGAGTTGTCTTCCGGATTGTAGGGGGAACTTGTATTCATCTGGGCCTCAATAATTTCGTCTTGCTTATTCCCCCAATATTTCTTCTTTCTTGGAGTAAATTTGGATAGGTCCTTAGACATTATCCTCTGTTCATTAGCCTCCTTATCTTGTTGGATTTGATATGCATGTTGCTCTTGTAGGAGCTCTAACTTTCGCCGCCTATCCTCTTTTGCCTCATTTCCTTGTTGAACCAATTCAGACAAGAACTTACCACTTTGGTTGAGATAACTTTCAACACCTTTCCCTTTCTTTTTTTCATCCTTTTGTTTATCTCTTCCCAATGGCCTTGGAGTGGGCATGACCGCATCATCTTCATCTTCCTCCAAATTGATTGTATTGCCACTATGAGAAGAATCTTTGAATGATTGTGTGGGAGATTCACATAGGTCGTTCCATTTTGGGCAATCTTTTAAGATTTGCCAAGCATGATGCAACTTGAAAGGCCTATTTGGAGGTTTATTATCATTCATGAAAATTGTTTTTGCATTTATATCCTACCCATGAAATAAAATAAAAATCAAGTTAATAATTGAAAACAATTAAAATTATAAATTTAAGCATTGAAAAAAATGAGTACTCACCACATCTTCAAGATTGGAGCCACTCACATGTCTTGCATTGGCCTTTGTTAGACATGCCTTCCAAAGAGAACATTGTTGGTTGATGATCTTGAACCGAGAAGCAATAGCTTGCGGTGATCGTACCTCGGCTCCGCTCATGCCCGGATCATTTTCCAAAAAATTTTGGTACACACGCAACCAAAATGAATCATTTGATTGATTCGTGCCAATAGCCCCATCTTCAGATACAGAAACCCACCCTCTACATAATGCCTCATCTTCTTGTGGTTTCCAATTCACACCTCTTTGGGGTTTTGGGGCCATTCTCAACAAGAATGAATGTAGAATGAAAAATTATAACAAAGGGAGAAAGGAAAACAAAGGGAGAAAGGAAAAAAATGATTTTTGGTGGATTATTTACCAAATGAATGACTATTTATAGAGTTTGGAATAAGTTTTGGGGTTGAATCTGACTTAGATTAATTATAAATATTAATTTGACCGTTGGATTTAAATTTGAGCCGTTAGATGTAAAATTTTGCTGTTGAGATTGCCTAAAATGAATCAGAATCGTTGATTTTATAGCTGTTGGAATATTTATAAAATAAAAAAATAAAAAAAAACAGCATAACAAAAATTTGAAAAACTATCCGTTGCTTGTCAAAAACGGAAAAGGAATGAAGATTCCCACTTGTCAAAGTGGGCCAACGAACAAAGTTGGGCACATGGGCTGCTGCTTTCCTACAATAAAAACTTATATGTTAAAGCAGATTGGGCCCCACATAATTACCAGTCCAGGCAGAATATTGGGTGGAATTCCAGTCCAAGTTTGAGGCATCTCAAATTTTCACCTCCCAAAATACATGGGTTGGAGATGGTTTTGGGAGGCTAAACTCAAAATTTGAGTTTCCACCCCAAAGGTTGGAGATGGTCTTAGTGTTGTGAGTCAATTTATGCATTCGCCTAATGAAATTCATATGGAAGCAGTTATGCGAATTTTACAGTATTTGAAGTCTGCACCTGGCAAAGGGCTGATGTTCTCAAAACATGGACATTTGGAAATTGAAGGTTTTACAGATGCCGATTGGGCAGGAAATCGAACTGATAGGCGTTCAACATCAGGTTATTTTACATTTGTGGGTGGTAACCTTGTTACTTGGCGAAGCAAGAAACAGAAGGTTTGTTCTTTGTCCAGTGCGGAAGCTGAGTATCGAAGCATGGTACATGGCGTATGTGAGATGTTGTGGATTCAGAAATTATTAAAGGAATTGGGCTTCGTGGCTAAAGATGCCATGAAATTGTATTGTGATAATTAAGCTGCAATCGACATAGCTAATAATCCAGTCCAACATGATCGTACTAAACATGTGGAGATTGATAGACATTTTATTAATGAAAAATTGGAAAGCAATGTGATTAGTGTACCACATGTGAAATCAGAGGAACAACTTGCAAATATTTTGACTAAAGCAGTGTCTAGCCATGCATTTAGTGACTCACTTGACAAGTTGGGCATTGGTGACATCTATGCACCAACTTGAGGGGGAGTGTTGGCGTGAGTCCTATTTTAGGTAGGAAATTAATATAAGGATTCTTGTAAATATTGTATTACCTGTTCTATCAGGATTAGCTTTTATCTTTTCCTTTGGTAAAAAGTCATTGTACACTATATATACACCTCCTTTGAGAGAAGAATATATATCAGAAATTCACCATATATCCTTATATTTGACTAGTAATTGATGGGAATGTGAAGAATGATTGCTAGAGTGGCACAAAATGTTAGAGGCAGGGTAATGGATTGAGTTCTGAGGTAAATTCTCAAAGGGTGCAGTAAACACTGAGCAAGGAGGTCAGGGAGAGAACAGAGGAGGTAAAGTTGAGCTTCAGAGGCAATTGCTTCATCGTGGCCACAAAGGAGGAGGAGTTTCTTCATGTTTAGCCACAGAAGAGAAATTGGTAAGGATGTAAATATCAGAAGAAGTACTGTTCTCTGCAAAGAGAGGCCAAGCAGCGTATGCCTTTTGGCACCAAAAGCTTGACCACAAATGGGTTCCATTCCCATGGCAAGGCCAGAGAGAATCGAGTAACCGGTGATGTTAGCAAGGCCGACGGCAAGGGACCCGCCGGCTAAAGCGAGCTCGCCGAGACGGCCGAGGAAGAGCATGGAGATCATTGACCTGGAGTAAAGTAAAAGGCCAGTGAGTATCATGGGAAAAGCTATGCTGGCTATGGAATTGTCTTCTTTTAGAGCCGAGGAGAAATGGGATTTTTGGTGGGGTTTGTGTGTTTGGTGGTGTGCGTTTAGTTGTAGCTTCTTCTGTACTTGCTCTGGTTGGGACGTTGTGCTTTTGGAGATCAATGGGTTAGTGAGCGTTTTGGGGCCTTCTGGGTCTTTAATGGAGACAAGGTAAGGGTGGTCTGAATTGCCATTGCAGCAGGGAGAAGGAGATGTCAGCTTGCTCATTATTATATGCGCTTAAGGATCAATCAACTGTAAGTTAATTTGTGTGTGTGTGTGTGTGTGAGAGAGAGAGAGAGAGAGAGAGAGAGAAAGAGAGTTGAGAGTTGAGATTGTGGGGGTCGTTGAGGGGTTTTTATAGAGTCTTTGTGATGACTGGCCAGCAAAACCTAGTGAGAGATGGGTGATGTGTGTAAATTCCACTTTCAATTCTTAAGAAGTAAGATTTGGTTTAATTTTGTTTCTTCTTCTACACAAAAAAAATCGTGTAATAAATTCTACACAAAAAAGAAGTCCGCATGCTCTGATATTTTGGTTCACATATATGTGCTTTGACCCGACAATTCGACTTCTCCTTCCTGCCTTTTGGACTATTCGATTATAACTTGAGCAAATTGCCCATCCAAACTTATTTGTAGTTATTAGGAGAACCTTTTCTTGTCATTTTCTTTTATGAGTCGAACCTTCGATGTGAGTGTGAAGGTTCACAAGATACCTAAAATGAGAACCAAGAAAAGACGTTACACAGATCAAATTAAAGTGTGAAGGTTCACAGAACGTAATGAATCTTTGCCGACAATGAACATGCATGCCACAAAATTCTTCGTCTCCCTCCGCCAAAGAAAAAGTTCAAAATCACAATTGGACTTTTCAAACTTGGTTCTTGGCTGATCTCAACAGAATCTAAAGAAATCTGCCATAGTGAACTCGGTCCTCTGTGATCAGCTGTAATCTTGACTTTCTTTTTCTTTGAAAACAGGTACAAAACAAAAGGAGAAAAAAGATAAGGAAACCTAGTTAATTTGGCTTTACAAAGCTGTACGTAGTTAAACCAATATTTTGAAAACAAAAAAGCTCTTGTCAGATAAAAAGTTAAATTTAGAGGTTGTGTATTTCTTCGCATTTTATTAAATTTAAAAACCAAGTATTAAGGTTATACGAAGAAATAAAATTATAGGAATAAAAATTGTTCCCTCAATTTTGAATTAAAAAGAAAAAAGAAACTCAAATAAATGAAACAAAAATGGGAAAAATGAATAGGAGGAGACAAGGCAACATAGGGTTGAATGATGCTAGCTGTTGCTTTGGTGAATGATGCTAGCTGCGATCCGCTACACCCTCTCTTTAACCTTATCTCTTCGTGTAAAACTCTCATGTGTCTGGTGGTGTGTGTTGCATTCAACATACTTATAGGAAAAGTAATTCTGCTGCTGATCTCCTTGCGTCTATTGAGATTTGGATGAGGAAATTTAAAAGTACAAAAGATTTCATAAATGACGGAAATTGATGTTCTAGAATTTGTAAAGTTTCTTGTTTTGATGATAGATTTAAAACACGGAATTTAACCTTTGTTTGTAAAGTTATCTTTTTTTTTAACTCAATCTCTCTTGGGATTTTAGAAATGATGACTTTTAGATATAATTTAAAGTTGAGATTTATGATCACCAAATTCCATGTTTTTTCCCATGCGGATGTTTTTTTATCCAAACACAGGAATTGGTTCATGTCAATTTAGAAATTCTGAATTTTGTCAAAATCCCAAGTTTATTTCCCTCATTCAAACGCACCGTAAATCTTTCGGGATCCATTTTTGGGACTTCCCCCAGCTGCTGTGAGAGAATCTTTGTTTAATGACTTATGTCGGGTGTCTACCCCAAGATTTGTTGTTGATTAGTTTTGTGCTGGGCTTTAGCCCACCTCTTTACCGAAAAAAATTTAAAATAATTACAATAAGAGATATTTAGTCATATCCATTCTTACGGCCAAAGACTCAAAGGGCAAGCAAGGAAAAAGACCCCAAAAGGCCATCATATTTACCGATCTATTTAGGAAATGTTTGATAACCATTTCAATTTTAGTTTTTAACTTTCATTTTTCATTTTTTGTGCAAGAGTATAGATGAAATTAGGGGGGTGTATTTAATTGAGATTTTGGGGCCATATATATCTCTTTTAAAATATGTATATGCATTATTATATAATCATATATCTCTTTTAAATTAAGTGTTAAATACTTTTTTGGTCATTGGATTTTATATGAATTTCAATTTAATCACTAAGAAAAAAATTTAGCCAAATATATGTATCATCAAAAGTTAACCATTTATAGGCATACATTTTCTTTTAAGTGGCTTGATTAAATACATTTTTTGTCACTTACTTTTACAAGAAATTTCAATTATCTCTCTCTCATTCCAAATCATCTCTTATAGCCTCAATCCTAATTGATGATAATTAGTAATTTGATGAATCACGGGATTTTGGTTTTATGTTTCCATTGAATTATTTGTGTAATAATCCTTTATAATATTGAAAAAGCATATGGTGATGAGTTTTAAGTTCTAAATTTTTTATCAATATATATGGTCCAAATAATTACTTAATTTGTAAGTTAACCACGTCCCTAAGCAAAATAATAATAATCATAATTAGGCCAAATATTGGTCCTCTCATTTTGCACAATTGAAAGAACTTTGCTTGAAATTTTAACAAAGTAAAAAACAAAAAATATCCAAAAATTACGGCCTTTGCTTTGAATGTAATAACAATTATATAACTAACTTAGCCCTCACCATGTTCGTTGGATTGGCTCAAGTCTTTGGTGTGCTTTGACAGGACCCGCCCCGAATTTCCCGGAAGCCGAGACAAACCCTGCGGAGACCCCGGCATCACACCCACGCCGGGTTCACTCCTTAAATCTATGTCCTCGTTTACCAAAGAGGATTAAGGGCATGAGACTTTCTGCCGAAATTTCGGCAGAGTCTCCCCTGTAAATTGAACATTTCCCCAAAATTTCCACATGCATAAAACATTTTATAACCCAACCGGCAGCACGCACAATATAATCTCATGCAATTTACATAAATGGCCTCCGGCCTTCAAATGATTCTTGCAGAACTGCCCACAATGTTTTTAAAATAACTTAATGCATCAAACATGCATATAATAAATTCAAAATCTATTTATGCACACCTTCACTCACTTAGTCCCCAGGACAAGCCTCAATTCAACCAAGTTTCGGGACCAACAACGAGGTCCAAACCAATCTCAATAAGACCACCTAAGTGGGGTCTAATCTGTGGCTGCACCTAGTAACTTCAGGCTGCCTACGTACCCTACTAAGGGCTCCTAATATTAAATAAATCATTACAGCCATACATTCTAGGATTTATTCATCACGACACACCAAAAATACTCACAACATCTCCCCATACGCCGGAACATCCAAAGTTACGTATGTGACCTATCCGCACGCCGGATAAACCTACGACACGTGAGAACTCATCAACATATCACATAATCCCCTCATACGACGGGACGAACCCGGCCTCGTATGGGGTATGTCAACACGCCAGCTAATCCAAAGACGCGTGCGACCTCAATACTGGGCCTAGCCACATTCCCCCCAGCCCGCACACAATCATATCTCCCCTCATACGTCGGGACGCACCCGGCCACGTATGGGGTCTGTCAACACGCCGGTTAATCCAAAGACGCGTGCGACCTCAATACTGGGCCTAGCCACATTCCCCCCAGCCCGCACACAATCATATCTCCCCTCATACGTCGGGACGCAACCGGCCACGTATGGGGTCTGTCAACACGCCGGCTAATCCAAAGACGCATGCGACCTCAACACTGGGTCTGGCTACATTCTCACCAGCCCGCACACAATCATATCTCCCCTCATACGTCGGGACGCACCCGGCCACGTATGAGGTCTGTCAACACGCCGGCTAATCCAAAGACGCGTGCGACCTCAACACTGGGCCTGGCTACATTCTCACCAGCCCGCACACAATCATATATCCCCTCATACGTCAGGAGGCACCCGGCCACGTATGTGGACTGCCAACACGCCGGCTAATCCAAACACGCCTGCCACCTCAACACTGGGTCTGGCTACATTCTCACCAGCCCGCACACAATCATATCTCCCCTCATACGTCGGGACGCACCCGGCCACGTATGAGGTCTGTCAACACGCCGGCTAATCCAAAGACGCGTGCGACCTCAATACTGGGCCTAGCCACATTCCCCCCAGCCCGCACACAATCATATCTCCCCTCATACGTCGGGACGCACCCGGCTACGTATGGGGTCTGTCAACACGCCGGTTAATCCAAAGACGCGTGCGACCTCAATACTGGGCCTAGCTACATTCTCACCAGCCCGCACACAATCATATCTCCCCTCATACGTCGGGACGCACCCGGCTACGTATGGGGTCTGTCAACACGCCGGTTAATCCAAAGACGCGTGCGACCTCAATACTGGGCCTAGCCACATTCCCCCCAGCCCGCACACAATCATATCTCCCCTCATACGTCGGGACGCAACCGGCCACGTATGGGGTCTGTCAACACGCCGGTTAATCCAAAGACGCGTGCGACCTCAATACTGGGCCTAGCTACATTCTCACCAGCCCGCACACAATCATATCTCCCCTCATACGTCGGGATGCACCCGGCCACGTATGGGGTCTGTCAACACGCCGGATAATCCAAAGACGCGTGCGACCTCAATACTGGGCCTAGCCACATTCCCCCCAGCCCGCACACAATCATATCTCCCCTCATACGTCGGGATGCACCCGGCCACGTATGGGGTCTGTCAACACGCCAGCTAATCCAAAGACGCGTGCGACCTCAATACTGGGCCTAGCTACATTCTCACCAGCCCGCACACAATCATATATCCCCTCATACGTCAGGAGGCACCCGGCCACGTATGTGGACTGCCAACACGCCGGCTAATCCAAACACGCCTGCCACCTCAACACTGGGTCTGGCTACATTCTCACCAGCCCGCACACAATCATATCTCCCCTCATACGTCGGGACGCAACCGGCCACGTATGGGGTCTGTCAACACGCCAGCTAATCCAAAGACGCGTGCGACCTCAACACTGGGCCTGGCTACATTCTCACCAGCCCGCACACAATCATATATCCCCTCATACGTCAGGAGGCACCCGGCCACGTATGTGGTCTGTCAACACGCCGGCTAATCCAAAGAC